TACAGTGCAATATTTTTATTTAAAGGTGTACCCGTCTCCTTTTTCATGTTACATTATTTCGCTTTTGTAACTAAGTTGCTTTTTTGGTTGTTTGTTCTTGGTTTTTTTTTAATGTCAATTTTGCTTAAGAGGAAGATAATTTTTTTTTTTACTAAGCATGCTGTAATGATTTATTGCGGCTTCCCAATTACTTTTGCTGTATTATTGTCGAGCATTCACTCATGCACAAAGCTTCAAACAGGGACTGTACACCCCCCCACCTTCCTGGTACTTTTTTTTTCTTTCCTCTCTTACCTTGTGTGCTGAGTTGTCCTCCAAAAACATACTCACTGGGTCATTGAATCCAGCATTGTCCTGCTGTGATCCACTGATCCACATCTGCATGCTGGGTTCTGTGCCACCGCCTTCGTTTCAGAAGTAATCGGCTGTCTCTTCCAGGTAGCCGGCCCCTGATGACTCACTGCCAGGTTCACCAAACTGATACCAAAACTGATACCTCCTGGGATATGGATGTCACATATGCCAGGAGGTATCAGCTTCAAAACTGTGGCCGGAGGAGGGTGAACCTGGCGGCGCGTCTTCAGGAGCGGCGGATATGTCATTCTTGCACAGCCGAGAATGTAGGTGGGGTGGGGTGCAGTGTAAAAAATAAAAGTAAATAAACTGGTGGAGTTTGATTGTAGGGATGCAAAAATGTATTTCCACTTTTGAGGCCAAATTGGGATAATGCCTACTTTATATTTGTTACATGAACGATAGGCTATAGCATAACGTTAAAAATATTATTTAAGTATTTAATATATTGTTATACATTATTTAAAAATTGCTGCTTATCTTTAAACAGCTTTTCACCTTGCTGACAAATCCTACCTAGCTTTCCACCTGTGTTAAGGAGGGGGCTGGGGAGTTAATGTTTGCCATAATTAATCATATCTGTACTGTGCTGGCGGATCTCCATTATAAGTTGTAACTAGGCAGTGTCTGTCATAACAAAGGGTTAAAGATCTCATGGCCTGAGTGGTATGTCAAGGAACTTTTAGGGGCTCATTCAGATTGGTGCAAAAAACCCCACTGTGTACAGATGTGCACAGTGTATAGTTTTGTACACATGTGTACGCATCTGTAAGTATACTGTATCTATGTGCCCACCCACACACTCCCACTCTACTCCTGGCAGTATAAGGTTCTGCTGAGTTCCACAGTGTTATAAAAAATAGATCCAAGCTGCACCCGGGACTGCAATTTGGTATGTATTTAATGTTGTATGCTTGTAAACATATGTGCTAATGTCTACATGTGTACAGTGTACATGACATGTCTCAAAATGTCAGTATCAATATTGTGTAGTCAGGGTTCCTGCCCAGCTACACCGTACAGTGTACATGGACCCTGTTTGCCACTTCCAGTCTCAGTAATGTGTAAAAGGGATGCCTGCCCTGCTACACCGTACAGCATACATGGATCCTATTGACTGCTGACACTTCTCAGGGCCGACATGCCAGTTTCAATAATGTGTAGACAGGGTGCCTGCCCAGCTGCAGCGTACAGTGTACATGGACTCTGGTGGCCACAGCCACTTCTCAGGGCCAACATTTTTTAATGCTGTGGAAGATGGGGCACCTGCTCGACTGCACCAAACAGCGTACATGGACCCTGGTGGCCACGGCCACTTCTCAGGGCCAACATGCCAGTTTCAATAATGTGTAAACGGGGTGTCTGCCGTGCTACACCATAAAGTTCTTATGGATCCTTTTGGAATGGCCACTTCTCAGGGCTGACATGCCAGTTTCAATAATGTGTAAATAGGGTGCCTGCCCTGCTACACGGAACAGTGTACATGGACCCTGTTGGCCACAGCCACTTCTCAGGGCCAACATGCCAGGTTTAAAAATGAGTAGATGTGGTGCCTGCGGTGCCTGCCCTGCTACACCATACAGTGTACATGGATCCTATTGACTTCTGCCACTTCTGGGTCAATATGTCAATATCAACAATGTGTAGCATCAAGTGTCCGTAATCCGTGGGGCAGGGGCTAATAGCTACACATTGTTGATATTGAGATGTCGGCCAGCAGCAGCCAATATGCTGTATCAACGCCGTACGAATGTAAACATTACTAACGTTATAAACAACTTAAACATGTACTGATTACGTTGTCTCAATTAGTACGCTTGTCTGAATGAGCCCTAAAAATAGCTGTCCCTCACCCTGACCCCTAATTGCACATTTTAGGGTATAACATAAAATACAGAAACATTCCCCAACCCCCCACCAGAATTATGAGGTTATTCTGTTTAGTTTTTAATTCATTTGCAGTGACGATTCACTTTAGGTTTTCGGATTGTACTTGATGCATTTTCATGCAGTAATGTATGCGTTTTGCTGCAGTAAAACGGACTATTGTAATGAGCAAATGGGGGGATGAACCCTACCCCCTCCATCAGGTTCTGCATTAGGCATGCATCATATGCCCTGACTGTGTATTTATTGGCCTGATTTGTATGAGGCTGGTAAACGAGCCGAATATTACAGGTCATCGTTATGATCGGTGACATGAACCGCGTGTTAAAAAAAGGCCAAGAGTAAGCTGAACTTTGCCCTGATCAAACAAGTGTGGTAGAGCTGTAATACTGTAACACGCTGTCACTTTAAATGACTGGGTGGGTTAACATGCAGGTACTTTACTGCCAAATGAGTTGAAATTTTGTAAATTCCACACCCATTACTGCATTTCCTCTGCCTTAACAGTCATGTCTTTATAGCGCACATTCTTGGCTCAATGCTGATCTGTTTGCCTTCAGTGACGAGTTTATTGGTTGTTTTGGAACGTTGAGTTGGGTGGTGAACAGAAAACTTTTGGATATTTACTGACACATAGAAGGACATTTATACGTGGTGCCTAAATTGTACAAACATCACTTAATATTGTGTCTGCAAGAACTGACGTCCTCCCCTTGAATTCTGAATTGCTGTAAACTTTCTGTTCTACTGTTGTAACAATTTGCTATTTTACCATTTAAAGCTGAATCTGCTCATCTTTTTGCCTCCCCTGGTTCCTCCCCCCTTATCCGCATTCTAATACATTATTAAATAAACCCTTTCTGTTCTCATTGCATTCTGATGTCATCACTCTGTCTCGGTGCTTCTCTATACAATGCAGGCACATTATTTGTGGTGGGAGTGCCCAGTAGGGTGTTGTACATATCTCCCTGAAAACATCCCAGCACCCTGGCTCAGTACTTCTCTGAGGGCTTGTTCACACCAATTGTGGTGCGTTCCAGAACAGTAGCCCCCAACACTTCCCCCCTGCGTTCTGGGGTGGGAAGGGGCGTGGTGGTGCATTGAGGTCAATGCCCCCGCCCGCAGTGGCAAAACATTGCTTGCATTCCGTTCCACTGCAAACACAAACAATGCTGCTTGCTTTATTTTTTGAATTTGCAGTGGAACGGAACGCTTCATGTTTTGCCACGCTTCATGTTTTGCCACGCTTCATGTTTTGCCACGCGTCCGATCGCACTGCGGGCGTGGGTCGTGGCTGCGGTGACCTTAATGCAATGTCACCCCCCCTCCCGCCCCAGAACGCAGGGGGAAGTTTTGTGAGTGATTGCGGTGCGTTCCAGCAGCTACCGCTCTGGAACGCACCGCAATCGGTGTGAACAAGCCCTGATGCAAACAGTGGGCTGGGTCTTGGAGGGAGTTATGCAAATATCAAAATGCCTTGATGGGTGTCAGTCTGGCAGAGTGGGTGCCCTAAGCAGACTGCATTTGAAAGAAGACCATCCTAGGTAATGCTTACATGTGACACTGAGCCTCCATGATTGTAAGAACTGAAATATAATAAATGAAAGGGGTAGCTCAGTATAAGGTCAGAGAGGAAAGGGCTAGATGATGCAGGAGGTGTTTGGGAATAGCTCCTCTGCATTAAAAACAGTAAAGCTAAATGTGTTTGCAGATCACTAGGTTAACGTATAAGGAAGGACTAGTGAAATGACCGGTGACAATGTGAAAAATGTTTTACTTTTAAAGAGGAAATCCGGAGGCAGAAAATACATCTAAAATCCAACTTAGATACAAGATAAAATCATAAAATAGTAAGAGCAGTTGGAGCATTCATAATATAGCACACAACTCTGTTGATATTCTGATCATAAGGTATAGTGCAGTCTTCACATCTCCTCTGTAATCTGTGGAGGTAGAACAATAATCAATGGACATGGGATGCAGTATTGGCTCAATGTTTCCCAATGCGTTCGGCTAATCTTAGCTTCCTCAGGGGGATATGGCTCACACATGAACTAGCAATAGAAAAAGAAATAGAATACCTAGAAGAAGACACAATATATTCTATTGAAAGTACACAAAAAAGCAGAAATATATCTCCATGTCCATCTTATGCAACATGCATACATCATATGGGATTGGGGGCGCCAAGAACAGCTGTCCGCCATCGCCTAATACAGGTGTGGGGGGGACTAAAGGAGGGCACAGACCAGAACCTCACAGACACTGGAAACCACTTCGGCATCTACAAATAAAATTTGCAAAGCATGACCTGGGTAAGGTAACAACTACTAGACGGACGGACGAAGAGACAGACAGATAGATAGACGAATAGATGGATAGATAGATAGATATTCTATTAGATGTTACCTTACCCAGGCCATGCTTTGCAAATTTTATTTGTAGATGCCGAAGTGGTTTCCAGTGTCTGTGAGGTTCTGATTTGTATTTGTAGATGTCGGAGCTTGGAGCTGGTACTACTTTACAACACACACAGGGACCATGGGGAACAAAAGTAGCCACCCTCCAGAAGGAAGGACAGAGTCAGCACCAATTCAGAGATGATTTGAGGATCTACAGCCGAGTGATACACAAATAAGATACATTTATGTTAATAGTTAAGGTACTTGAATGCATTTATAAGGTTTAACTCCTGAGATTATTGTCACTTTAAAGGAGAACTATGAGGTGAATGCTTTTCACTCACCTCATAGTTCTAGCCGACCTGTGACAATGAGACTGTCGCAGGTCGGCTCAGTAGATCGGGAGGTGAGTGAACACATACCGGCGTTCACTCACCTCTCGATCCTGTCACAGCTCTCTGCCGTGACATGGGGAGGAGCTGGATTCCCCCCTCCCCGCTCCGATCCGCCAGCGCTGACTGGCGGATCGGATGGGGGAGGGGGCGGGTACAGCTGGCTCTGCCTCTAGATAGGCAGAGCCAGCTGTCACTCATGCAGCTGGGCGGATCCAGACATAATTGTTGGGATCCGCTTCAGCTGCAACGTCTCATATACCGCGAGCAGCTCGCGGTATACTGAGCTTAGGGTGACGGGAGGACGCTAGTTTGTGTCCTCCCATTACCCTAAGGAGAACTATGGGGAAAAGCTTTAACCCCATAGTTCTCCTTTAAGGGCCCATTCACACCACATCCAGATTACCTCCAGACCAGACCAGACTGTTTCCAGACCAAAATGCATCCCAATGTATCCCTATGCTATTTCTGGCCTCTGTTCCCACCAGCCCAGTCGGTTCCAGACCAGACCATAAAAACACTGCTTGTCCTATTTTGTCTGGTCTGGAATGCACTGGAATGCATCAAAAGGCATAAAAAAAACACTGGAACGCACCTTTTAAGCTAAAAAAACATTTAAATGAAAAAAAAAATTCCAATCGTGGAAAAATCGCTGTAAAAACGTGCCAAAAACGCAATGCACTATGTTCCAGATCTGGTCCGGAAAATGGTGTGAACCCAGTCACCACAATTGCAGTCCATTCATTTTTCCTCCTGTCCATGTTACCATATGTCTATAACGAGGTACGAACATAGACAGGAGAAAGAGTCTGCGGGAGACAGAGCATTGTATCCACTATCCACTGACTGCGGTTGCAATGCTTTACTGGCTCTAATGCACAATACTAAATGCACATTTTTACTTTTTTGAAAAGGTGGACGTTCCCTTTAATATCCTATCTAATGATAGCAGCTGATATACAGTATACACTGAGTGGCCAAATTATTATGACGTTTGTAGGCAAATTAGCTATAATTTCGTGCTGAAGTTGCTAGAGGGCCAGACCATTATAAATAGGGAAGCAGGTTGTTTACCACGACAGTAGAAGTGATTTTTTTTCTGAAGATACGGGTAATCAACGCAATTTACAGCCTCTGAACGTGGGATGATTGTTGGCGCTCGGAGCCATGGAGCGAGTATCAGCAAAACAGCAGAATTCATTAAATGTTCAAGAGCAGTTGTTGTTAAAGTGTTTAAAGACTGGACTGTCAGCCGAAAATCTGGGTCTGAACGTGCGAATTGTGGCCGTCAGCGACTAGTCAATGTTAGGGCAGAACGGAGAGTGGCAAGACTGGTACAAGACAACAGAAGGGCAACAGTGCCGTGTCAGATTCCTCGCATCACCTTTCAACATCTCGTGGAGTCACGAGGCGGCCCAACGAAGTTATCTCGTGGAGTCATCTCGTGGCCCAACGAAGTACTGATGGGGTGGTCATAATAATCTGGCCACTCAGTGTATTTCCATGTCACATCCAGTTGTCAGTCCCTCCTGTTGTTCACGTGGGGTTCCATCTACACCCTGAGAATTGTATAAACTGTGGATTTTATTTTAGAAGTCAGGAATGTCTGCAGGAAGGAATTTGTGCTCCAAGCTTCCTTCCTAATTTGGCACATCTCATGGTCCTAATCTAAGTTTATACTTTCTCACGAGCGACTCATCAAAGAGTTACATAGACTGATAAATAATAGTCCTTATTACAACAGTCCTGGATGAATAATATTAGTTGTGCGATATTTCACAGAAATAAATAATGACATTTTTACAAAAGGCCACCAAATTCAACCTGGAAGTTGTAATACTGCAGATCGCGAACAAGGGACAACAGGCGCACATTACAGTATTGGTTTATGTTAAACAATCTGAGGGTTTAATGTCACTTTAACAATACAGCTGAATGTTATGATGCATGAGACTTTTGTTTTACTGAGCTCCAGTATAACAAGGGATGCACCAATACTAGGGATGTCCCGATGCCACTTTTTCACGTACGAGAACCGATATTTTTTTCCGGTACTCGCTGATACCGATACCGGAAGTCCCATTAAGGAAGCTGGCCGACATGTAATGACTCGTTCCCCGGCTTCCTGATTAGCCAGCTCCATGCTCCCTTGTCACCAGGTGATGAGAAAGCATAGAGCCGGCTTTCTGGGCAATCAGGAAGCCAGGGTGTGGGTAAAGACTTGCTGCCCGGCCTCCTGATTGGCCAGCTTCCTGACCAATCAGGAAACTGGGTCGTGAGATTACATGTAGCCTAGCTTCCTGATTGGTCGGGAAGCCGGCTCCATGCTCCCTCATCACTAAGTGATGAAGGAACATGGAGCCAATTTCCCGGCCAATCAGTAAGCCGGGGCCAGTCATTACCCGCTCCCCGGCTTCCTGATTGGCCGGGAAGCCAGCTCCCTGTTCTCTAGTGATGAGGGAGCATGGAGCCGGCTTCCTGGCCAATCAGATAGCCAGGCAGTGTGTAATGACTTGCCGTCCGGCTTCCTGATCCCAGAAGTTCCGGTATCGGGATAGGCACCAGGAGCATTTGGGGAATTACGATTACACACCCAAATACTCGGTATCGACATGGATACTTGCATCGGTATCGGTGCATCCCCAAGAATAAGCAAATTGTCTATATACAAGAGCTGTGTATTCTTACATGAGTCTAGTGAGCTTTGTGTATTTCTTCCAGATCTGTGCAGTACTCCAGTGTAGAGCATCCTGTAATAAAGACTGGCCACTGCTGCTCTCTCTCCTTGTGGAGGGTGACTTGTCTTGTCTCCGCCCCTCCTGTAGTTTGCTGCAGGCAGCCTTTAGTGGGTGGGGCTTGCTGGGCACAGGCATGAATTCCAGAGACAGATGCATCATGGGATTTGTAGTTTCACCACAGCTGGAGGGCCAGAGTTTGCCCACCCGTTCTAGCTTTTGTTTTCAAAGCTTAACTGAACAATCCAAAGATAGAATCTAGTTAACATGAGACACTGCTTCATATTCTGTCTGTTCCCGTTTTAGTAGATTCCCCCTGTAGTGTTTTTGTGCATTTACATGTATTACAGGCCCATTAAAATGGTAAACACCATAGGGGTTCATTTATAAAAGTTGGATGGTATTCGCAGAGCACTCGTGCCCCTATGAAACTGATATTCTGCAGTTTAGCTGCATCTGGAAATCCTTATTCTGGATGTTTCTCATTTTACAAAAGAAAATGTTTGAAATGCAAAAAATTCCGCACAAATGTGTAAATAGATGCAGCACTGTACGTCAAAAAATGCACGTTTATGTGTAAGTATAAAAGGGCTCTTAGCACAGCTCAACGCTGAAGGAGGGAAATAAATGTTGTTTTTGTTCAGGCGGTGAATCAGTCACAGCAGGAAGAAGTGACAGCATGATGGCCGAGATAAAACAGATTACAGGGTCACAGAAGGAGCAGTCTGTTCCCGTTTTAAAGCATGGACTGTGAAAGAAACGTTTCCTGGTGCTATTCTCTCATAGGGAGGTAGGCCTACACAGGGAAGTGCGTAAAGCGATCTTGGACTATCGTGGCAGGGCCAACTGACAGCGCAGTCCATGTCCATAGATACCAGCTGATCCTCATTTGCAGGGACTGTCCCTTCCCAACCAAATTCCTCCATCCCTCCTTTTTCTCCTTAGTCATTTGTCCCTATTTTTTCTATACGGACTAATAAAGCACACTATACAAGTACCAATGTTTCCTTACGCTAAAGCCCCATTTACACTTGCAGCCTGTTTATGCGCATCTTGCCGCATTTGCTGTGTGTCAGATACCCGGGATGGGTTTTCAATAGAATTTATTATTCTGGCATCGAGTGTAATGCTAATCGGTGATGATATGTACTGTTATGTTCCTTATTGCATCATAGATGGCAGTTATTGGTAAGTCTTTTTAAGAAAGCTGTGGATGAAATTCTTCCAGAGTTGGATTGGTGTTGAGTATATTATTTCCAGGCTGTTGGTTTACCACTTTAATTAGCCTTGCCTGGGTCATACTCATTCAACCTCTCACACTTGCCCAGTCATTTGCATTTATAGTATTGTGCTGCCTCCGCAGTTATTTGGCAATGCACTTGCAATGATGTTTATTGTGTATAGCTATAGTTAAAGCGGACCTTTACCCATATCTTTAAAATAACAACAAGCACACCTTTAGAAATGTTTAGTAATGCCAATCTACAAACAGATACTTCTAGAGAATTGCCAGCTTTGTATTCTTTGCGTTCCTTATTTCTCCTTGTTTTCCCCAGTCTTCTGACAGTGGCCATGTTTAGTAAGTGCAGATTACTAGCTCTCCTATGACTACCTGGATTACTGGCACATGTGACTAGGACATGTGACCATGCACATCATCTCAGGGGAGGAAAATTCCTTTCCCTGAGACCTTGCGAGATTACAGATGAGATTTCCCAGCAATGCCCTGCTTATAAGGCAATCCCAGTGTGCATTGCTTTGGCAAACTGAAGTCATTTTGCCCTTTCAAAGCAGGAAGTGAATGCTCTGCAAGTGTAAGTATTTCACAATCACAGCATTTTACACCTGACATGTCTATGTTATTATTAATCATCATACATAGAGGGATGCATTGGTAGAATTTGATTTTTGAGTGCAAAGGTCTGCTTTAATGTTTGATATGCTGCCGCCTAGTGATCATTAGGTTTACTACACCTCTTTTTTCTGTGTTTCTTCTCCTTGTATAATGAAACACCTCCTTTTTCCTCTGAGTGTTGATTCAGCCATTTACTTGCCACATGAGGAAAGGAAGGCATTATCATTTTTTGATCTTCAAATACTGTAATTTCAACCATCTGCTACATCCTATTGTCTGTTTTGTAACCTGCTGCAATCAATAAAGATCTTTGTTTATGACAAGTATACAGCTCGCGGTATACTGAGCCTAGGGTGACAGGAGGACGCTAGTTTGTGTCCTC